CTGGGCAAGAAGAAAGTTTTTAATTTGCTGTGACACAAAACAAAGCTGTGTCTTGTCAGAAGATTGCAGCTCCCTTTCTCTGCCTGTCCGTCACACATCAGCAGTCCTCACAGTGTAGCTTTACAGAAATGAGCTGTTGCAACAATGCAGTTTATGAAGGAAGGAAAGGCTTAGGCAAGCACTGTAACTTAAATTGCATTTGGTATGGCAAGCATTGAGCTCGACATGGTGTTTATGTTTGGTGCTTAGTTTCTATACTGCAGCAAGTTGCTGCTTTTCCTGTTCCTTCGGCGGACTTGTGGGGACTGGGAGAGGGGTCCCATGGGAAACAGAGCCCACAGGATGCACCATCCTGCCTGATTTGCTCTCTGTTGGGAGTACGGCACAGGCCTGATAATAGGAGTTGCTCTCCTACAAAAGCTGGTGAGCAAACATTCCCATCACATGCGCAGGAGGCTTTTCCATCAGTGCAGATGCACATGATAACCTGTTTTCCAAGGGTAGGCTCACCCCAGCACCCTGCAGAAGCTGCTCCAGAGCAGTGTGTGAGCAGGGACCCAAGGGCCAGCAAAATGCAAACTCATCCTGAATGGCTTATGCCTAAAATACATCAACTACAGAGCACTCCTGTCAAAATTGCTCTTAGGTTACTAATGACATAGTGTTCACAAGGGTAGGGCACATACCCTTCACCAATGTCACAAGACCCTTTACCATAAGGCACCCGTTTGCTAAAGGCTCTACACTGGCAATAGCTAAGGTCTTAAATGGGAAACTCTGGAGGACCGTGTAGGTTCAGGATTTGAAGCTGTTGAGACACACAAAACACAATTTTAGGTGTATGTTTCAGTTCAGCTGTGATGTTAAGGTAGCAGTCCTGTCTTAAATCATTGGCAATCCCAACCAAATCAAAGTATGTTAAGTGTGGTGACTTCTTCGAAATTGGTTTATCTCAGTGCATGCTTGGAACAAGGAGGGGCTATTCTTAAAAATCACCCTGATTTAATTTTATTTTATTCAAATGAATTCTTAGTGCTGGGTGAGGAGAAACACAGGGTGTGTTTGCAGGTGGATATCTTCCTTTGTAAGGATTCATATGAACTTAGGCAATTATTTTTAAACTATTGCTGACTCTGCGTGTACAAGCACTTGCTTCTCCACAATAAAGAGATTGCAGAGGGCAGGAGGAGCTCCCATACTGAAGAAGTTTTCAATTGGACTGCCCAGTCCTCTTGCCTTTCCTGTCCTTCCCTATAAAAAGAGTATATTCAAACAGTGCTCGTCACAGCAACCCTTTTTTGGATGGTCTTGTCTCTTTCTGGGAGACAAGTTTTCCATTGAAAGTTTCAAAACGTGTGGAGGGGAGTTAGTTACCCAAATTCCACTGGCTTCCAGCACATCTCTTGAAAACTTCTCACTAGCCTCACCTCTCTGTTTATGGAAATGCCTTCTCAGGATAGGTTTGGGGATGGGGGGGGGGGCACGTTGGAGTTGGGAGAACTTCTTGACAAAGCAGTTTCAAACAGTTGTTCTGTTAAGTCTAATGAAGACAACTAATATGTTATTTAATCAGACTTCCATGTCTTCTGGGATTCTGGGCAGAGCCGAATTGTAGGGCAGACTTAGAGCTGGAGACACGTGTAATTCCTTTCTTGCCCCATGTATGAATTTTGTCTCCTTCACTCATCCTCCTTCACAGTCAGGAGTGAGAAGTTTTCTACCTGCTTTCATACCAACCACTATACTAATGCAAGATAACTCAAATTAGGGGGTAAACATGCAAAGTGTGATTAGATCCCGTTTACTGGGGACCTGGAATACTTTTATGCTGACGTTGTCTGGGATGAAATCCTTCGTTTTCCAGACCTGGTCTCTCAACTACTTTTTCTGTCCTTTTAGGGGAGCACCTGCGAATCTGCCCACAAGGCTATACCTGCTGCACCAGTGAGATGGAAGAGAACTTTGCAAACAAAAGCCGAAGTGAATTTGAAGCCATGATGAAAGAGGCTGGTCGCTCTGTGCAGATGACTCTGACAGCGCAGCACAGAAGCTTTGACAGTAAGTAAAACCTACTCAGTTCCTCCCTGCTAACAATCCAGACACTGCTTAACTTTCCAAGCACTGTTTGAGCCAGGGATTTGTGTTTGACACTCCTTCCTCGGCATCTTGCTCAAAA